TACATGTTTCACTTGAAAGCTTGGATTGTATGACATATACAGTTTACAAATAAAGAAATATTTAATCATTTTGGAAATTAAAACTACATCTCTTCAAGTATCAACTTAAAAACCTCCTGATTCACTGATGATCATCAGGAAGATGCAGCTGTTGTGTTGGCATCAACTTTTTCACTGGACAGTTTTCAGTCTGATGGAGACTTGGTTTGTTTTTCACCTAAAACAAAACTTATTTTATTTTGAACCACGGCTRTAAAGATTTTGTTTATGTTTTGTCAAAATAATATGTATTCCTTTTTAACTTACTCTGCAGTTTTGGAAATAAATCAAAGCTTTGCTTGCTTCCAGGTTGGATGAGGACAGATTGCTTAGAGATTTGTTTTAAGGCCTCTGCATACTCCATCTGAAGCCGAACAGTCGATGCACAGTCACATGGTTTTTTTCGGCGTACGTTTTCGTGCACACCATTCATAGTTTTTTTATTTTATTTTATTTTCTTAAGCGAGCTGTGAAAACAAAATGCAGCTTCTGAGTGCTTTCTGCATTCCTACAAMACTGTTAAATGTATTTACAAAAGACACTAAACTGATTCAGATTTAGCATAAAATAAATCAAGTTTTATAATGGCATGTCTGTGTCACCACCCCCCAAACTAAAATAAAAAATAAATAAGTAAATAAAATGACAGCCCACCACCATGGTTAAAAAAAATCCTAGGGTAAACCCTGTTGAGTGGATCTGGTTTTCCTCAAGTAATTTTGTCTCATATTCCTTTCTGCAGCACTTGGAGAGTTCATGCATCCCTGTGAAGAYGATATAGTCTGCAAATGTACAACTGAGGAAAACAAAGTTCCTTATTTCAACGCCCCGGTGTATTTGGAAAACAAAGAGCAGATTGGAAAAGTGGATGAGATATTCGGCCAACTGAGGGACTTTGTATCCTTTCTGTTACGATTTCAGCTGAACACTGTGCCATGAATGTCTGTTACACAGAGTATTAATCATCCTTAACTRATTTGTGCAGTATTTTTCGGTCAAACTCTCAGAAAATATGAAGGCGTCGTCGTTCAAAAAAATGCAAAAGGTAAAAGAATTCACTGGATGCAGATATACAGTGTTTATAGGCTGTGGTATTTAATGTCTTTTCTTTTTCAGTTTTACATAGATCCAATGAAGCTCCTCCCATTRCAAAGATTCCTGCCTAGGCCCCCAGGAGAAAAGGGGCCACCAAGAGGAGGCAGAGGGGGAGGCAGGGGTGGAGGAAGAGGGGGAGGAAGAGGTGGGGGTCGTGGAGGTCAGTTAATKTTTGGTTTAAACATTTGAAATATTCATTTAGTCAATCTTTCTTTCTTAGTTTTTCCTATTTGTGCTTTCCAACTTGTTAGTTTTAGTTACTGAAAACAACCTGTAAAAAGCGGTCCGATCATTCGTTTTTCTTCTATATCAGGTAGTTTTCGAGGCAACAGAGGTGGGGGTGGGCGTGGTGGGTTTGGAGGTGGACGTGGTGGAGGCGGCTTCAGAGGAAGAGGAGGAGGAGGAGGTGGTGGTGGAGGGCGTGGATTCAGAGGTCGGTGCATTTTTATACACTTTGTGGAACMTTGAGTCATCTCTTAATAAATGCATTTAAATGTTTCTTTCTTTTTTTTTTTTGTTGCCAACATCTTGGTTACTCATAGGTGGGAGATGATCAGACTGTGACCTGGTGTGAACTTCGCTTGCTTCATCTAAAATGTTGCGCTCTCTGTGAGATCCTGACCAGAAAGACTCAAAAACTCTGCATCTACTTGATAAACTTGTGTTTTTGTTTTTCATTTTGTATCAGTTTTGGATAAGCAAGGAATTTTAATTATCTGTATTTAAAAGGTTCAYATGTATCCTTGTGTATAACAAGGAGGGAACCTTTTTGTGTCGGAGCATTGTTAAATCAGTTCATCAAAAAGATGTTTTGTACTGATTGAGCTAGAATATTTGATTGATTTTTTTAAATTACAAAACTCAATCAAAAACCTCCAAGAAGGTAAGTCAGAGTTTATTCAGTGGTAGTGTTAAGACCTTTTATTACTTAAACTGTAATATGTCTATCAAATAATGTATTTTTATTAAAGGCCTTGATTAAAAAGTGCTGTTAAACTGAGTATGTGTCTTTAATTTTCAGGTTTTTGAGTAATTTTTGACACTTTAAAACGGTTAAAACAAAACTCATTTACCACTATATTTTAAAAAATAATGATAAAAAATAAAATGTCTTGTGATGGACTTGCGACCTGTCCATGGTGTACCCCGCCCCTTGCACTGTGTCCCACTCGATCCTGAAAGGAATAAGCGCGTACAAAAAATGGATGGATTTTTAAAAAAGAAGTTATACTCGGCATATGATACGARCCTGAATCCTGTGAGGAAACAAAAATAACCAATTTTTTGATTTTGTCATTGATTATAAGAGAAGTGCACATTCTTCTGAAATTATTTGCCTTGTGCAATTTTTTTGGTGAAGCTTAACATGCAGAATGCRTGCTCATAATTGTGATGAATAATTTTAAACCTTCCTCATACAATTCATGGGAATTCCAAGCATCTTTTGAATTTGTTAAGTAAARCGATCAGGTTTGAGCCAGAGAAGATAGAGGTAATTTGAGATGTGAAGTAGGTAAATGGTTTCAATGAAAGGGAAATTGCTAACTTCAGATATTTCCACACAATTTGCAAATACGTTTATAGCAGGGGCGCCCAAACATTTTTCCCGAGGGGGTCAAAAGGAAAATCTATCCATGGCTGCGGGCCAAATGCAGTTATATAATACATGAAATACAAATACTTTTTAAAGTAAAGTCCTTTATTTTTAACGATTAAKCTGTGCAATGGCCCTCTTTTGTTTTTAGTCTGTGCACTTGGAGAAAGTCTGCCATACGCTCAAGTAGCAAAGGCTCATGGGACAATATGAGTTTTTGTGGCCTTATAAAGTGCGCAAATCTACATGTGGGGTTAAATATGATCTAAATGTTGTTGTCATTTCATGTTTCATGTTTAATCCTAATAAATCAAAGATATGTCAGCACCATGAAAGAAAACTACCTACAGCCCTTTTATTTAGTCATTTGACCAATGAAAATACTGTGTTTCTACCTATAGGATAACAGGTTACAACCTTGTAACTCTGGCAACTGTTGGTGGGCCAAATCAAATGGCTTCAAATTTGGCCCGCGGGCCCGAATTTGGGCTCCTCTGGTTTATAGATTCTAACATGATTTCAAATGCTAAAGTTGCACTTTTTTTCTGCACAGTGTATCTCATATTTAGGAACTTCTGATTAAAATTGGGTGAATAAAGGTGTAAATGCAATAAAATTGATTTTGCAATAGTCTTAGCAAAAAGTTTACTTTTTTGTGGGATAATCCCACGTTAATCAGTCTTGAATGAAATTTGCATCCTCCTTAATATCCAAAATAAGTGTTTGAGCCAAAGAGAAACGGCTGTTTATTCTATTATTTTAGACTCTAAAATAATACAAGAGTTAGACTCTAACATTTAGACTCTAAAATAATACTAAAGAGTTTAGACCTATTTTTTTCTTATTTCCGCTTACGTAACACCCACCCTGAGTCTTCTCGTTTCTGATTGGCTCAGACGTCAACTCCTTTACGGCTGCGCATTAAACCCCGCCCCTCTCTCTGCAGAAAGAACGAACATGGAGACAGCTGGAAAAGTAAGTTCCCACAGAGTTTGCATGAATTATCTCATTTGCTTTACAGTAATTTGCTTGTGTCGATTAAGTGTCACAAAATCATGCTTATGGAGCCTCCAAAAATGCTACAATTGGCTTGCTAATGCCGTGCTGTTCACGTGCGTTGAAGGAGTGCAACAAAAGAGTCGCTGTTCCCAACTTCACCACGGACCTGATAGGTCAGTTATAACTGGAACTTTCGGGTTTCTGCAACGCCTCTGCTTGGAGATATGGTTCTTTTTGTTTCGCGTGATACTTAAGCAAGTAATTGTGTCCAAAACACAAATAAATAAATTTCTTGGCGGCAATCAATTACGTCACGCCCGGTTAACCTGAAGTTAATGGATGATGATGATGCAGCTAGAAACAGTTGCAGGAGGAATGTACTGGGACTTTGGCACAAGCTTGGAATGAGCTCAGAGGTTATCTACATTATAAAACTGGCTGCAGTTCAAGTCCCAGCSTTTCTTGAAGGAATGCCAGCGTTTTAGTTTAAAAAGTTGAGAAATAGATTTGTAGCATTTATTTATTTTGTTGTCAAATCTTATAAATAACTGCGAATACTGTGATATCTGACCTGTTAGTCTTGGTAGTGTTATTGCTACTACCACTCCAAACTTTAAGCTAATTTTCCTTATAATTTATTGAGGTATTAGAGTTTTTGTGTAAACTGAGGTCGAACTGTTGTGGCAGCCATCTTTAATGTGCTTGATCATCCCTTACAGTGCATTATGAGATGTTTTTTTTTCTAACAAACTACCTGGGTTGACCCTATCAGTGAAGGCCAAGGTTTTAAGCAAAGAAGACTTGCAAAAGCATAATTGAATAATAATAAACACACGTTCATGTCACTAAAATGGCAYGTCTGTTAATTATAACCATTTGTCTTAAATTCTGTGTTTTCCTTCAGGTGATCAAGTGCAAGGCAGCTGTTGCCTGGGAACCAGGAAAGCCCCTCTCCATTGAGGAGGTGGAGGTAGCCCCACCTAAGGCCCACGAAGTTCGCATCAAGGTAAGACACCAAACGTTTACCGTGTACCAGAGAAAATCCTTATTTAGATGCCTGTTCACCAATTTTAGAGAGAAAAAACAAGTTTTGTTGAGTTCTAAAACCTAAAAAAACACTCCCTCCTGTCAGGTTTTTGCCACAGGCGTGTGTCACACAGATGCCTACACCCTYAGTGGCAGTGATCCTGAGGGACTCTTCCCTGTCGTCCTGGGACATGAGGGTGCTGGAACARTTGAGAGCGTGGGCGAAGGTGTCACTAAATTCAAGCCAGGTGAGCAACAGTTGTCAAACAGCCATGTTTTTTAAGGATTATTATTTTTTATTAATCTATATATTTTTTGTTCAGGCGATACTGTCATCCCTTTGTATGTGCCTCAGTGTGGGGAATGCAAATTCTGCAAAAACCCCAAGACCAACCTCTGCCAGAAAATTAGGTAAAATATAACGTTTAAAAACTCACCCTGCTTTAAAGTGCCTGTGACATGCGTATCCATGAAATACAAAAAGTTAAAGAAAATATATTTATATTTAATAAACTTGGCATAATACACGTGATTTTACTTATGTCACAGAATTGGCATATACTCTTTTAGATTTGTCTCAGTTTAAGTGAAACAGGAAGTGACATCAAAGGGGAACTCTTGGAGAAAGAAAASTTTTTTGTTTATTTAATATTATTTGAACTATGACTCTTTCTCATCTCTATGATGGTGATTAAAATCTAAAGAAACATCAGATTGTTCTCTACAATCTGAGCATTTTAGCGACGCTCTGTTCACATTCCCCTTTGACATSACTTCCTGTTAMTTTCYATGCAAATATCCTAACAACTGTTCATCTCAGCTGCATGAAATCTTCCTTACGATGTGTTATTGGTGTTATCTTTCCAAAAAATACATTCATATTTATTAGAAAATATCGATGTCACATAGGCACTTTAAGACAACCAAATCAAATCAAAGCCTAGGCATACTAAAAAATAAATAATTAAATAAATTAAGCATGCATTTATTATGCAAGCCTTGCTTTTCCTGTGTTTCCATCATGCAGAGTAACTCAGGGTCAGGGCCTGCTCCCTGACAAGACGTCRCGCTTCACCTGCAAGGGAAAGCAAGTGTTCCACTTCATGGGGACCAGCACCTTTTCAGAGTACACTGTGGTGGCTGACATCTCACTGGCCAAGGTTAATGAGAAAGCGCCACTGGATAAAGTGTGCCTTCTTGGATGTGGTATTTCGACAGGTTATGGYGCTGCTCTCAACACCGCCAAGGTGAGCATTGAAGTCTGTGTGCTGTGAGATATTGCTACTTTTATTTAAAAAAAAACGTCCTGTAAGAAATGCAGTGTGACCAACAAATCTTTGTTTCTTATTTTTTCTTCTTATATCTTATTTCTTTACATTTTTCATTAAAATAGATCATAACTGGGCAGATCTGAGAAGTTGCACGTCTTAGAACTTTAGTCTGGGTTGTCAGTCTTTTGTGCTGTGTCTTTGAGGTTGAGCCTGGTTCCACGTGTGCCGTGTTTGGACTCGGAGCGGTCGGYCTGGCTGTCGTAATGGGCTGCAAGGCCGCTGGAGCGACCAGGATCATTGGTGTGGAAATCAACCCCGACAAGTTTGAGAAAGCCAAGGAGTTTGGAGCTACTGAGTTTGTGAACCCGAAGGACCACAGCAAGCCCATCCAGGAGGTTCTGGTGGAGATGACCGATGGGGGTGTGGACTACTCATTTGAGTGCATTGGAAATGTGAACATCATGGTGAGAGTATGGTSTTGAAAGGCAGTTTGAAAGATGTCTGTGCATTTAACCAGTGACATGACATTTTCTTGTTTCAGAGAGCTGCTCTGGAGGCTTGCCATAAAGGTTGGGGTGAAAGTGTCATCATCGGTGTTGCTGGTGCAGGGCAGGAGATCTCCACCAGACCGTTTCAGTTGGTGACAGGGCGAGTGTGGAGGGGCACAGCATTTGGAGGTTAAGAACGGTTATTTCTGTTTTTATAACTCTCTTACTAAAAATGTTTAATTATATATATAGCGGGTAAAATAAGTATTGAACACGTCACCATTTTTCTCAGTATATATATTACTAGAGGTGCTAATGACATGAAATTTTCACCAAATGTCGGTAACAACCCAAGTGATCCATACATACAAAGAAATCAAACCATACTGTAAATGTCCAGAAATGAAGTTATTTGTAATAATGTGGAATGGCACAGGGAAAAAGTATTGAACACATGAAGAAAGGG